ATAAATTTAAAATAATCTAGGTGAATTTAAAAAATTAAAAAAAAATTTCACGTAGACCGTGACGCTGGACAAAATCTAAAAATTATGAAAGGATTTTTAAATAAAAAAATTTACGATGAGTTAAAATCTAAATTTGCTAACATTAGAGAAAGTTGTATATTTAATCCTATATTCATTTATTTATCTATTTATTTTATAACTATTTTATCATTTTTCAAATTAATAATTATTTAGATATATTAAATTATTCGATTGTGGTGGTAGAAATTAATATTTTATAAAATCTCTTTTGATTACCAACTTGCTGAAGACATTAGAGGGTTATAATTAAAAGAGTGTTACATGAGCTAAGAAATAGATTATGGTTAATTTTTCGATAAGAAATAAACACAATACAAAGAAGTAAGAAATAAAGGGATCGAAAAGACTTGATCCCTTTTAATCTCGATTTAATTTATTCTATTATCTGCAAACAAACTCTTATACAAAATCTCTCAATTTAACATTCTTAATATGAAATAGAAAAATCCCTTTAAATATGAATTTTTTAAAATTATCACTTGACAACGATTTAATATAGTTGCTAAATTAACCATTAGTGAGTAAGACTGCATTCTACATTTGGCTTGTTCTTTCTTTCAATGCTTCGTGCCTTTACAAGTCTTAATTAAGAGGTGTTTATTCATTTTCTCTATTTTGTCATTTTCATTTTCTCTAAATTAACTATTTTGATAATTTTGTTTCTATCTTTTTTAAATCTTGATTATAACTATATTAGGGTTTTTCTAGTTATGAAAAAACATTGTATTATAAAAGAAAAGAGCGTGCGAGGAAACATATAAATGAAATAAAGGGGAAGTTCATAGTATCAACCACAAATATAAGAAGGGTAGGTTGGGATTTAGGATTCCGAATCCTTTATAAACTTGTTTTATCTTTGACATATATTATAAAAGAAAAGAGATGGTGTAGGTGAAAATTATTTTTATATTATCAATCAATAATAATTATTTAAAGCGAAAATCACATTTTAAATTTTAAAATATTTTCATGATTTGATACTTTAAAATATGAGTGATGTTATACAGTAAAAAATATTGTGATAAATCTTTTAAAAACAAACAAATATTGTGATATAATTTGTCATATACCTAGTAAAAATATCCCATAAATTAATACTACAAACTTACAATCCTGCATTTTATGTTTTCTCACTACTCATCTTAAAAAAAAAAATCCCCTCTTTCTACATAAAAACTAACAGTTAAGAAAATATAAACTAGCCATATTCTAAGTCCAAATCATCTTTCACATTGATACGAATGAGGAAACCGCGTTGACAACACATTGTGTTTAAGCTTCATTATCAATATGAAGACACCATAGCAGGGAATATGCAGTAACGCCATCGACAAGTAACTGAAAATCAATCAAATATGAACTCTTTATCACAATCAAATATCATACAAACACTAGTAAGAATCATGTAGAGAGAAAAAACTTCATACCATAATGGAGCATAGTGGGATGACAAGTCAAGAAATGTATATGGCCACCTGTTTTTCCATAACAAGAAACTTATGTTAGACATTATTGCAGATGTAAGACATTTGTATTTAGTAGTTGAATTGGAAAAACATAAAGAGAGTTGTTATTGTTATTATTACCATAGTTTAACTATAGCATGAACAATCCATTGAAAAATGACATATGTGACTGTCCATAGGCAAAAGTATCCTATTCGAAACCAAGGGAAATGCTGAAGAAGCCAAAGAATTAGCAAGAGTAAGAATTCACAATGTAGTAATAATCAAATATATTTATGAAAAAAAAGAAGTAATAATCAAATATATAAACTCACCAGGCAATTTAAAGCGGTGTCTCCTAGCAGAAAAACAGCATTGATGGTATGCATACTTATTGTCAGCTGTCACAGAACAATATATTAACATAAGCATACAATATGACTTATACAAGCCAAAGTTATCAATGAAATGAGACAATAAAGAAATGATTGTAGTACTTACTAAATTGATGTTGTAATCTTTGATGGTTAGAAAAGGAACAATTATGAACCAAAATGCACAATCTGTCAGCATTACCGCACCAGCATTAATCTATTCACGAGAAACAAAAATCATGATATGGTCAATGGCAATTGCCAGAATTCAACCATACAAAACCGGCTTGTAAGATCAGGATTGTCTCCACTTATAAACACATGTTCAGGCCATATATTGCGTGAAACTTACCTGAAAAAGTATTTGTAAGATATAACCCCAAATGCCTGCATGTTTGCGAACAATATGTTCTTGTTGAGATTTATCATGACTAGATGGATTAGAACTTTGAGGCAGTACAGAAGCATCGTCAATTCCTTGCTCAGAGTCTCCATCCACATTGTTCACCTTATAATCACCACCTGCATTTTTATGATGCTGGTAACATCCATGCATGGACAGCAAACATCCTAGCTACAACATCAATAGCATAGCAGAGATTACACACAAATCATTAAGCAACATTGCTAATGAAAAAAAAAATTATTAACTTTATATTACCCCAAAATAGACAGTGACTGAAGTAAAAGTCCACCTGTTTCATAGAACCAAAACAAAGGATTGGAGAAAAATCAATAATCAATAGTATACAAGACCAATCCAAATTTGAATTCGAATGTAATGAAAATTGGAAACTTACTGAGTGTAATAATAAAAAACGCTTCCTCCATCAGTAGTAGCAGTGAGTATGAGAAGCACCAAAAGGACAATAAATGCAAAAACTCTAAAAGCTAACAACCATGCAGGGTGAATTCCTTTAAGACAAGGCTTCCAAGTTTCATCTTCATACAAATACAAACTTGTTGATGATGATGTTTGTTTCTGGATTTCAATGTCATCATTTCTTTTTGACTTCCATGATAAAATTAAAACCTCATACTTCCATATAAGTAATGATGAAAAGATGGTTGAGAGCATGATTAATATGACACAAACAAAAAACTTCCAATTCAGCCAGTAACTTTGGATGGTTGTATCAGAAGTCATGATAGGATTCCAAGTTCCTTTGGAAGAGAATGTTACAAAGTTCATCGTGCTACTTCTGATTATTGAAGAAAAATGAACAGATCAAATGTTTCTTGATGGTTTTGCTCAGAAACTTAGACCTCAAAAGACAAGATTGAAAAACTAAGATTAAGAACCAAGGAACTAGAAAAAGCACATTGCAAGAACAAGACTATAAAGTAACAACTAAATCACAGGACCATTCTATGCAGTCAAAAGTGAGGCCTAATAGGAAAGTGCACATGGGTTTCTTCTGCATTTCAAAAATCAGGATCAGGTGCAAATATTTTTGGGTCAGAAAGCTCTAAAAAGTTGAATTCTTACTTACACATTTTGACCACATTAATTAATAAATGGTTTAGTTATGAGATAATGTAGAGATTCTATTTTGAACTTTGGATAGATTTTAACACAGAAACACATAACCGACAACATTTGTTGTTTGTTAATGTGTTAATATAAAGAAGTCACATAGGTAAGCAAAGAAAAGGTTGAAAGTTGCAAAGTATAAAGCAACACATGTAGTGGAGGTGAGAGAGAAGAGAAGAAATGCTTTTGCTTTGTATATAGGAAAGAAAAAGATGGTGTGCTTGGAGCATAAGCTTCTTGTGTTGTTTTTTTCTTGTTATCCAACAAAAATCTTGCTCTAAATCCCATGCAAATATTAAATTATTCTCAACTCAACACAAAAGACATGCATGTTTTTGTGAACTTTTCTTGGGTTAATAATATTGGTTTATTTTAAAAATTGGACAGAGAGAAAGAGAGAGGAAAAGGACTGGACAAAGAACAATTGTGTTTGGGTTTTGTATTGGAATGGTTGGAGTAACTAAAGATGCTTCATGTATTCCAAGAAATACGAATCGTTTTGCTTCAATGCATGAGTCATGACTTGGTGATAAAGAAAATAAAGTGTTACTGTTAGGAGAGAAAGGGGTGACAGGGCAAAAAGAAAAAGAGAGAATAAAGATAAAATGATTATCTCAATTTCTCCATGCTCCTTTCTCCTGCCTTTTTTTTAATGAATTTTTGAATAATATGAATTGGAGATCTTTGCTCCATATATTTCTCCATCTTAAGTGATGGCATTTCAGACATTAAAGGTTAATATATATAATTTTATTTTTTTAACTTTAACTTCTTTTTCAGTGACATTATATGACTGGTACATATCTCTTGAATTTCCTATATGCATGAGGAAGATAATGATGATGAAAAAAATGGCTTGAATGAAGCAGCTTTGGGACCTAATGTGATCATCCTGCAGTGCAATCCCATATATACACTCTCAATCACTCCTGTCAAAATAAACACAACTTCAAACATGTCATAAGATATCTACTTAGAATATATGAATATGTTCTCTCTTGTTACATCTACTTAGCTCATTTTTAACCAATTTAAAACTTTAAAATCACTTTATCATACTAAATAACACTGCTTGTATTCAAATGCTATGTGCTTGTCGTTTGGTAAACACTTAAAATCATTAAAAACTACTACAACCGTGAGACCAAGGCAAACACCTGGTATCTACATCCTCTTCATGGTTGCTCCAAGTTATAAACACCATCAATTGATTCATTTTTCTATTGTCCCTCTTTTGGGTATGTAGGGGTTGGAAACAGAACATAATTTCAACAGTCTATAATCTTATACTATGTATAAATATTGATCTTTTTTTTTTGTTGAGTTTTTCACACTTCAATTCAACAAAACGCGTGTATCTGGAAAATTTATACTCTGAATGACTGTGAGAACAATAATCCTTCCTTCCCATACTCCAGAAGCTAGTAAAAGGACATCTCTGAAGGTAATACTGCAGTTCAATCTCAAATAGTAATACAGTCATCATCTCCTAGCAAAGCGAGAGAAAAGGGGACTCAAATAGTAGTACAGTCATCATCTCCTAGCAAAGATGAGAGAAAAGGGGGCTCAAATAGTATTACAGTCATCATCTCCTAGCAAAGCGAGAGAAAAGGGGGCAATGACCGCATTAAATGAACGTGAGCCTACTTTATCAACATGGATCATCTCATATTCACCTTCCTGCATTATTATACAAATTCCTGGTTTAATATTGGATTTGATGAAGATGCAATTAGAAAGCCTTCAAACGAGTCTTAAATTAAGCAATCAAAATGCAATCATCGGACGTCTTAATAGTACAATTTGTCATTTTTACACCAGTTTCGACTCAAAGACATAGAGGACATTGTTGTGAGATGAAAATCATGATAGTAACACCCTATATGACAGTGCTAAAAATATTTATGAATCAAAGGAAAATATGGTGCAGTCCATCATTTCAAAGCATGTAAAACATGGCTTAAATAAAGCTTTCGCTTTTGCGTTCTTTTCTTACTGCATGATATGTTGATTTATTGAAGGAAATTGTAATCAGAAAGAAAAAGAAAACTTTCTTACCATTCTACCATTTGATGTGCTTAATGGGCATGCAGAAGAGTACTCAAAACTAGTCCTAGGAAGAAGTACTGGCTGTTCACCAACAACACCAATCCCCCTGACATGTAGAAAATAAAATACACAAGTTATGTTGAACTTGTATCTTCTAAGGTTTAAAACAGGTATTTATTTACCAAATTATATTAAGGTACATAAATCAAAGCTATTGTGTTCGACATTAACCAAGTGCCCTGTTGATTTAAAAGGGAAGAGGAAGACAACAAAATAGCAAAGAATAATTAACTCACCATACATTTTCTGATTTCCCATTAGCGTCGGTTACAATCCAATGCCTTCTTAGAAGTTGAACTGTGTCATCTGAGTTATTGGTAATTCTTATTCTGTATGCAAAAAAATATAGCCCCTTTGAAGGCTGACTTCTGCCTTCTATATATACACTCCTTACTTGAACCCTGACTCCCTGAACAAGATGAAATTTAGTGTCAAAAGTTGAATTTCTTGATTTCATTTATAAGTTTCTTCATTTATATAGTTTAAATCAAAGAAAGAAATATGTATAATACAGTAAGTGAAAGAAGTGATCATACCAACGTTGTAGCATCACTGGAACATTTTAAAAAAGAGTGCGGAGCAATTCTTTTTAGCTCGTCACGATAACTAGCTGCATCCTGGAGAAAAAAAAGGGAAGAAAGAGTGTCAACATGTATAAGTCTTGCTTTGTCAACTAGAGCTGAAATATGCGAGGTATGCTACCAAAAACAAAAACTACAAAAAAAAAACACCTGGAATCTCTCATCGGCAATTGCTTCCTTGATTAACCTCCTCAACCTTAAAACAGGCTCTTCTTGTTCAAATAACCTAAGCGAATCTCGAATCCTAGCAGCTTCCTTGTAATCCTACACAAAATCCTCAATTCTCATCTTCAAATTTCAGATTCAACAATTGATGATAATGAAAAAAAGAGAACACTGTTACTAACCTCTGATTTAGCAGCTACTTCCATTTGTTGTTTCAAGAGAGCGTAGGTTTGGGTCCGAGACAGAAACGAGGTTGGAGTCTCTTTATCCGAATTATTACCGCATGCCACAATTACGCAATTGCTACTCCTTCTCTTCACCCTCGTTTCCTCACCCACCAACCGTAATCCCGCCAAACTCTTGCTACTACTTAACGATAACGATTGCATTTTTATTTTACTTTCTGATTTTTGTTCCTTCTTGTGTACAGGGAGCGGACCAATGCTTGCTGCGCTGCGCTTCGCTCGCGGGTTTGATTGATCAAGTTACAAAATTGGCCCTTCGATTTAGCTCTTGTCTTGAGGGTATTAGTGGACAAATGTACTGATCTTTCTGTGGAAATTATAGGATGTACGTGTCATGTACAACAGCATAAGATAAGATAGTATTTATACTCTTTATATGGTGACCGCAATTATTATGTGCCACATTATTCACAACTCACAACTCTCATATCTACTTATTCAACTTCAAAGTTTGTGGATGCCTCGACTATTCACAACCGTGATTATTTATTCTTTTCAACCGATTATCCTGTTATTTAATTTGTCTAATCTTGAACGGGGATTCTTTATGAATATATTTTTTTAAGTTCTTCTTGTCAAATCGCATGACAAATTTATTGGAAAGATAATTTAGTTAATTTTTATAATTCTTAATGCTTATTTTTTTAATAGGGTTTTTTAACATTTTTAATATTTAGTATAAATATGATATCTTAGACTATCAATATTGTACCCTACTTTATCTTCTCTATTTTGATATACAATAGTAGTCTTTTGTAATTATTCTTTGTTCATTCTTCTTCTCCCACTTCATTACCTTGCACTAATAAATTGGTATCTAGAGCACTTGGTTTTGTTTTTCCTGGGAAACACGAGTGATTGTGAGCTGTGTGTTTGATTTTGGTTCATTGATTTTTTTATTGAAATCTTGAACAAATCTGAACATAATCTGATTCCGTGGATTGCGAAACAGTGTGTTTGAAGATCTAAAAATTTGTGTAAGGTTAAAGATGAGTGGATGCAGTAGTTTGAACACCAAACTCTCAGTTTTTAATGGCAAAAATTAGAACAGATGGATGATACAAATGCGTGTGTTGTTTGGTGCGCAAGATGTTCTGGATTTGGTTACAGATGGTTATGTACCAGCTGCAACAGATGCAACTGAAGAACATAAAACTGCTGAGAAGGTTATGAGGAAGAGGGACCATAAAGCTCTGTTCTATATCCATCTGTGTGTGGATGAAAGTGTGTTCGAGAAGATTGCTAATTCGACAACATCAAAAGGGGCGTGGGATTTACTGGTGAGATGTTATGGTGGTGACGCATCAGTAAAGAAGGTGAAGCTTCAATCCTTGGGAAAGCAATATGAGAATTTGAACATGAAGAACAGTGAGAAAGTTTCTGAATATATCTCCAGAGTGATCCTGCTCACTAACGAGATGAAGGTGTGTGGAGAAACTCTGTCTGAACAGGTACTCATAGAGAAGATTCTGAGGTCGCTTACTCCTCAGTTTGATTACATTGTTGTTTCTATTGAACATTCTAAAGATCTGGAAACCATGAGAATAGAAGAATTACAAAGCAGTTTAGAAGCACAAGAGTTACGTCTGACTGAGAGAACTTCTGAGAGGGAAGCTGAGCAAGCTCTGAAGGCTTCCTTTGTAAAGAAAGACTAGAAGCAGAATAAACGTGGTGATAGATTCCAGAAGTCAGAAACCTCAACTTATGATGATAAGAGATATCATAAAGGAAAGGAGAGGTATGAGAAAAAGAAGGTTCAATGTTACTCTTGTAAACAATTTAGCCATTTTGCCAGAGATTGTAGGTCAAATAAGGAAAGGAAATCAGAAGAAGTGTATATTGTAACACCCCAATTCTACCCGACAATTATATAAATAAATCAGAGTTATAAAATCATTCATGCAAACAAATCAGGATACCACAAATTCATCATTAAAAACTCATTGCATTTATCGTGGAGACATAACACTTGAAAACTTCGGATGAACTATCAACATAGTAATTAAATCTCTTAATTCAACAATTTAAACATCTACACAGCGGAATTCTTAGTAACATCTTTAGCATCGTTACATCAACTTCAAAACAACACATATTTAATAATAATCAACTTAAAGTTCAACAACTGAATAATCAATAATTAAAAACAACAAGCGTTCATCCCCCCGAGTATTACATATCAGAGCAATGACACTGACTCGAACTACTGAAGGTATGTAGCCTTCACTCTCGATTACCTGCACGTTACCAACGTAAGGGTAACATTCAAACAGAAGGGGTGAGATATCTAACAATATAATAAAACGTATGATAATTAATATATTAAATTAGATCACATAACATCACCACTTTTCATCTCATAATCAACGATAATTGCATCAATAATACACATTCACAACATCAATACACAACCTCTTTATGCAGTCATATAATGCGACTCAATACTATGCGAATGCATGTGGTACCATTGGAGCAGAACTCCCATCTTAAAAATCTGCCAATAAATAGAGGCATCAACAAGGCATAAGCCTTCATCTTAATATTCGCCAATACAGGCCATCTTAACGAGCATAAGCTCCATCTTGAAATGCAATGTATGCGACACAATTATGAATGTAATGACAACACCATAATTACCAACATCTCAACACAACATTATCGTTGGCCATAAGCCTACATCTTAATAGCTGCCAATTATTAGAGGCATCTCAACATCTTTCATCAACATCGTTCATCAACATCATTTATCATCATAAATCATCAAACATCATTTATACATCATAATTCATCAAACATCATTTATACATCATAATTCATCAAGCATAATCTCATTAACATCAGTTCATTAACAACTCAGTCGTACAACAATACAACAGTAACTCGTCAATCTCGCAACGTTGGCCATAGGCCTACAACATAATATTTCCTATAATTAATTAATCATCTAAGGCTTACTTCTAAATTACCAAACCTCTACGTATTACTATTCTGTAATACTACATCATTATCATCATTAATCCTACTGTTACAACCCAAACAGAAATCTATAATCATATCATCCTCATCATTCTTCACAAAAATCAGCATAGCGATTAACTCGGGAATTAACTCTAGTCCTAATTTGGATATTGGGATCATCCTTCCTATTCTTCATTTTAATCCTTAAGAATAAAGCTCATCGCGTTAGCTATTCAACACTTCGAACGGAACCTCAAACGGAGTCCAAAAACTCAAGTTACAACCTTCTCAAACTGATTCTGCCAAAAACTAGACAACATGGATCGACGCGTAATGCCTTGGGTCGACGCGTACTGAGCTGAATACGTTACATGAGTCGACACATCCTATATTGTATCGACTCATCTTGAGTCTGCAACACTGCATGTATCGACACATGCTCCTACGTATCGACTCATCCTGAGTCTGAAAGCCCTCATGTATCGACACATGACTCCTTCGTGTCGACTCATACTGAGTCTAACAACATTCTTGTATCGACACATACCATTTGGGGTCGACACATACTTCTCTGCTAAGGATATTTTCTGCGATTTCTCTGCGCTTTCACTACGGTTTCCATAATTTAGGCCCTAAAAACATCTTTTAATCATAGGTAATCATCAATCATACTTATCCTATAATTCTACATCAAATAAACAGCATTGGGGCATCGTTATTCATCCATAATTCATCGATTTTCATCATACGACAACATATATAATTCAATCATAAACCAAACAATCTTTCACCTCTAACCCCACATACCAATTATCATAAACCCCATTATAGAGTCAGAACCCCACCCTTACCTTGGATTGAAGGTTGCTCTATAACTTTCCAGTTGAATTTTCGTTCTGCCTCTTTTCCTCTTTTCCAACAGCTTTCATGTTCTTCCTTTCAACCCTTATTCTTCTTGCTGCTTCTCCTTTATTATTATTTATACAATAATAAAATAACTCTATTATTCTATTTATGCCTTAATGGGCTTAAGACTACTACACCCCTTTATTACTACTTCTATCCTTTAAAACAAGCTCACGTCAAATAATATCATCCTTCTCATATTATTCCACCACTTAATAAAATAATCAAATCTAATTAATCACAACACATCAATACAAATATTCCAAAAATAATTTAATTAAATAATTAATTAAATTACGGGCGTTACAACTCTCCCCCACTTAGAATATTTTCGTCCTCGAAAATTTACCTTAATCAAACAACTCAGGGTAGGAGTCTCGCATCTTGCTCTCTAACTCCCAAGTCATGCTTTCTCCGACAGCTCCTAGCCAAACCACTTTAACCAAGGAAATCTCCTTTCCCCTCAGAGTCTTAGTTTCACGATTCGTGATCCATACAGGCATCGTCTTCACCGTAAGACTATCCCGTACTTGCACATCATCCATATGAATCACATGAGATGGATCTGAAATATACTTCCGGAGTTGTGACACATGAAACACATCATGCAAATTCGAAAGATTAGGCGGTAAAGCCACTCTATAAGCAACATTCCCCACTTTCTCTGAAATCTGATATGGTCCAATAAAACAAGAAGTGAGCTTTTTAGACTTCAATGCTCGCCCAACACCAGTCACAGGTGTAACTCTTAGAAACACATGGTCACCAGCTTGAAATTCTAAATCTTTCCTCCGCTTGTCATGATAACTCTTTTGTCTACTTTTGGAATCTTTCATCTTTTCTCGAATCAAATTCACCTTCTCAGTAGTCTCACGAACAAGTTCAGGTCCAAGTACTAAACTTTCACCATATTCATGCCAACATAAAGGAGTTCTACATCTTCGACCATACAACGCTTCAAAAGGTGCCATCCCAATACTGGAATGATAATTGTTATTATAAGTGAACTCTATCAACGGAAGATAAGTATCCCACGAACCTCCCTACTCAAGAACACATGCCCTCAGCAAGTCTTCCAACGATTGAATAGTTCGTTCAGTCTGACCATCTGTCTGAGGATGATACGCTAAACTCAACCTCAACTTAGAACCCAACGCTTCTTGCAAACTCTTCCAAAAATCAGAATTAAATCTTGGATCTCTATCTGACACAATGCACAAAGGAATACCATGCAACTTCAAAATCACGCTAGTGTAAATCTCATCCAACTTCGACGCTGG